GCCCCTCCCCGTTTCGTCCTGCCTTCCTTCCCGATGAGGTTCTCCTTTCCGGACGGATCGTCGTCCTCGACGCAGTCGAGGTGGTCTGAATCTCGGGGTGGAGGGGCCGTTAGGAAAGGGTTTTGATCTTGAACGGGGTGGTGTTGGGTTGGGGGGGGGGGAGTGGACAGCGCTTGCACCCTCGTTGCCCCGCTGCTCCCCGGTGCCCTGCTTGGCCCCCGGAATGGGGGGTCGGGCGGGCCTGGGCAGCGGCTGGTGGCGACGACTTTTCAACTTCTTATTGATGTACGTGCTCTGATTTGCCGCTGTCCGGGTTGACGGCCCCCCTTCCGTTCTGGTCGAGGGGTCGGTCCTGTCGGAACGGCACCATATTGTAGAACTCTCGGCAAACGAATATCTTGGCCCTCGCAACGATGAAGARCGCAGCGAAATGCGATACTGCATGTGAATTCCAGAAATCCGTGAGGCATCGATACCTTGAACGCACGTGGCGCCCGAGGCTTCTGCCGAGGGCACGCCCGCCWGAGCATCATTGGATTCCTCACGACCTCAGCACCTTCCGTTTCGGAGAGTGGTGGGGTCCGTGGTCSTGGCCTCCCTCGCTTCCCACTTCGAGAGCGTCGATAGCCTAAAGTGGAAGGGAATTGGAGAGCATTCCGAGCGGGCCTGTGGGGGCCGCAACCGAGAGTGGTGTGATTCGCTCCGACCTGTTGTTGCCCTCCAGCACCCGTTTGTGGGTGGTGGTCTTCGTTTCCCGAAAAACGGCACGTAAGGTCGTCCCTTCGGTTTGTGTGGTCGCTGCCTTCCGTTCGCTCCCATCAGCTTGAGGTCGGGTTGAGGTTGGGGGTGACGGCCTCGAGCTGTGGAGGTTCGTCGGGCCTTGCATTTTGATCTCAGGTCGGGCGTGAGCACCTGCCCAATTTAAGCCTATAACTAAGCAGAGGAAGAGAAACCAACGAGGATTCCCTTGGTAGCGGCGAGCGAACCGGGAATAGCCCAGACTGAAAATCCGGGGGCTGTGCTGCTCCCTGAATTGTAGTCTTGAGAGGCAACCTCTGCAGCGGGCCGTGTGCAGGTTCCCTRGAAGGGGACGCCGAAGAGGGTGACAGCCCCGTCGACCGCCGGACCCTGCTGCGCTACGAGGTGTTGTCCAAGAGTYGGGTTGCTTGGGAATGCAGCCCCAATTGGGTGGTAAGTCCCATCCAAGGCTAAATATGTGCRAGGGACCGATAGCGAAGAAGTACCGCGAGGGAAGGATGAAAAGAACTTTGAAAAGAGAGTTAA